GATTCAGGACTAATAAAAGCACAAATGATACTATTATGCACATGCTAGAACTAATATACACCACTCTCGAGAAGAAAGAAGTCCCGCCGGGAATCTTCATTGACTTACGTAAAGCTTTTGATGCAATTGACCATGATTTGCTGCACATTAAATTAACACACTTTGGTATAAGAGGTCACTCCCTCAACTACCTAAAGTCATACCTTAGTAACAGAAGCCAATATGTGTACACAAATGGTGCAAACTCCTCAACTCAGCCAATCACAGTTGGTGTCCCACAAGGAAGTGTCTTTGGCTCACTCCTCTTTCTCATTTACATCAGTGACCTACCAAATGCATCACAGCTACTCAAACCCATGTTATTTGGAGAAACACAACTTACGTCTTCTCTCACCCAAACCCAGTCATACTGGCTAACACTGTTAATGCTGAATTGCAGAAAATATCTACCTGGATGATGACAAATAAGCTTACCCTCAATACTGACAAAACCTATTTCATTCAGTTTGGAAGCAGCTGCAAATGTTCCATTTAACATAATGCTAAATAGATCACCCATCACAAGACTTGCAGAGGGAAAATTCATAGGAATCCACCTTGACAATACCCTCAAATTCCAGACGCACATACAACAAATTTCTAAGAAAATCTCTAAGACAGTGGGCATACTATCAAAGATACAGTACAGTGGACCCCCGCATACCGTTGGCATCACATAACATTAAATCCGCATACCGATACGTTTTATCACTAAGATTTTGCCTCGCATACCGCTAAAAAACCCCCTCAACGCTATTCATCCAAGACGCGTCTAATGTGCGGCCTGAGCCAGCCTCACATGTTCCGCCAGCGGCATTGTTTACCAGCCAGCCTCCGCGGTAACATCCAAGCATACAATCGGAACATTTCGTATTATTACAGTGTTTTTGGTGATTTTATCTGCAAAATAAGTGACAATGGGCCCCAAGACAGCTTCTAGTGCCAACCCTACAGGAATAAGGGTGAGAATTACTATAGAGATGAAGAAAGAGATCATTGCTAAGTATGAAAGTGGAGTGCGTGTCTCCGAGCTGGCCAGGTTGTATAGTAAACCCCAATCAACCATCGCTACTATTGTGTCCAAGAAAACGGCAGTCAAGGAAGCTGTTCTTGCCAAAGGTTCAACTGTGTTTTCGAAACTGAGATCGCAAGCGATAGAAGATGTTGAGAGACTCTTATTGGTGTGGATAAATGAAAAACAGATAGCAGGAGATAGCATCTCTCAAGTGATCATAAGTGAAAAGGCTAGGAAGTTGCATGAGGATTTAATTAAAAAAATGCCTGCAACTAGTGATGATGTGAGTGAATTTAACAAGTGTTTAATTGTGATGAAACAGGCCTGTTTTGGAAGAAAATGCCAAGCAGGACCTACATTACTCAGGAGGAAAAGGCACTCCCAGGACATAAGCCTATGAAAGACAGGCTTACTCTTCTCATGTGTTCCAATGCTAGTGGTGATTGCAAAGTGAAGCCTTTATTAGTGTATCACTCTGAAACTCCCAGAGCGTTCAGGCAAAAGAATATCCTCAAGGCTAATTTGTGTGTGCTGTGGAGGGCAAACAGTAAGGCATGGGTCACTAGGGACTTTTTCTATGACTGGTTACACCAAGCATTTGCCCCCAATGTGAAAAATTACCTAACTGAAAAGAAATTAGACCTTAAGTGCCTCCTGGTGTTAGACAATGCCCCTTGTCATCCTACAGACGTGGCAGAGTGACTTTGTGGGGACATGAGCTTCATTAAGGTGAAGTTTTTGCCTCCTAATACCACTCCTCTCCTGCAGCCCATGGACCAGCAGGTTATTGCAAACTTCAAAAAACTGTACACAAAAGCTATGTTTGAAAGGTGCTTTGTAGTGACCTCAGAAACTCAATTGACTCTTAAGAGAGTTTTGGAGAGATCATTTTAATATCCTCTATTGTGTAAACCTTATAGGTAAGGCTTGGGAGGGAGTGACTAAGAGGACCTTGAACTCTGCTTGGAAGAAACTGTGGCCAGAATGTGTAGACAAAAGGGATTTTGAAGGGTTTGAGGCTAACCCTGGGAATCCTATGCCAGTTGAGGAATCCATTGTGGCATTGGGAAAGTCCTTGGGGTTGGAGGTTAGTGGGGATGATGTGGAAGAGTTGGTGGAGGAGGACAATGAAGAACTAACCACTGATGAGCTGCTAGATCATCTTCATCAACATGAGGCCACACCTGAGGAAACTGCTTCGGAAGAGGGGAGAGAGAAATTGAAGAAGTTGCCTACTTCAAAGATTAAGGAAATGTGTGCAATGTGGCTTAAAGTGCAAACCTTTTTTGATGACAATCACCCTAACACAGCTATTGCAAGCCGTGCTGGTGACTATTACACTGACAATGTTGTGAACCACTTTAGGAAAGTCATAAAGGAACGGGAGGTACAGGCCTCTATGGACAGATATGTTGTGCGACAGAAGTCCAGTGACTCTGAAGCTGGTCCTAGTGGCATTAAAAGAAGAAGGGAAGTAACCCTGGAAAAGGACTTGACACCTCAAGTCTTAATGGAAGGGGATTCCCCTTCTAAACACTAAGACTCTCTCCTCCTCCCATCCCATCAATCATCACCAAATCTTCAATAAAGGTAAGTGTCATGTAACTGTGCATGTCTTTTTCAGTTTGTGTGCATTAAAATTAATATTTCATGTGGTAAAATTTTTTTTTTCATACTTTGGGGTGTCTTGCACGGATTAATTTGATTTCCATTATTTCTTATGGGGAAACTCGCAACTGGTATATCCCATTGAGGAGGAGGTTGGGATTCTTATTGGAGTTTTTATGTACCCATCTATATTATTATTACAACCAAAAGTAAGTGCTAAACCCACAAGGAGCATAAAGCATTGCAGGGTAGGATGTGCTAAAAATGCAATATTCTTTATCAGAGACCAATGAAGGTGAAGAGTATGCCAGAGGTAGTGAGAATGGTGAAGTGTGTTAACCCTTTGACTGTCGCGGCCGTATATATACGTCTTACGAGGTACCGTGTTTGACGTATATATACTCATAAATTCTAGCGGCTTCAAATCAAGCAGGAGAAAGCTGGTAGGCCTACATGTGAGAGAATGGGTCTGTGTGGTCAGTGTGCACCATATAAAAAAAATCCTGGAGCACGCAGTGCATAATGAGAAAAAAAAACTCCGACCGTTTTTTTTTAATTAAAATGCCGAATTCGTGGTCTATTTTCGTATAGTATTTATGGTTGTATTCTCGTTTTGTTGGTCTCATTTGATAGAATGGAAGACATATTATAGAAATAGAGATGATTTTGATTGATTTTACTATAAAAAGAACCTAGAAATGGAGCTCAAAGTAGGGGAAATGTTTGATTTTTGCCAATGTTCAAAAGTAAGCAAATGATGCCATTTTCCAGTAAATGTCCAACTAGCCATTCTAATATGCAGTCATGAATGGGTTGATGTTATTTATACAATTATTACAGTATTGCAGTAGTCTGCATAATAGTAAGTCTTCAATTTTTTGTTTGAATAAAAATTCAAAATAGAAAGCAAGAGTAATATCAGAGGGGCCTGGAGACATGACTGATGAACAAAGAAAATGTTATTTTAGAGCCAGGAATGTCTGCATTGTTCATTCTGGACCTTATTTTGAAATTGTCATATTTTTTAGTTTTCGTGAAATTGGCCAAATTGCAAATTTCTGACCACATTATTAGGTAGTTGAAATCGGTAAATGGGCAGTTTCTTGTACTCAATCGATAGAAAAAATGGAGTTCTAAAGAAATAGCTATGAGTTTGGGCGACTGGAACAATGGAATTAGCCAAAAATAGGGCTCAAAGTGGGCGAAATCGCCGATTTGTAAACTGCGCCGAGGTCGCTAACTTCGCGAGAGCATAATTCCATCAGTTTTCCATCAAATTTCGTTTTTTTGGTGTCATTACAATCGGGAAAAGATTCTCTATCATTTCATAAGAAAAAATATTTTTTTTTTTTTTTTGAAATTTTGCGACACCAGGACGTAAGACGTATATATACGGCCGCGACAGTCAAAGGGTTAAAGGAAAAGTATAATCAAAGTCAGTGTAATAAAGCTGTTGCTGACAAAAAGTCAGGGAGTCTATGTCAAAGGTGGGGTTGTCAACAAGGAAGTTAGATAAAGTAAGGGCATTAGAATGGTGACAATACACACTCGCTGGTAGACATGACAGTCAATTAGGATAGGTAAAACGAAAATGGAAGTCAGTTCTCACATTGTGCCTATCTGTAAATGTAAAACCACCATGGTGGCATCATGCAGGCCTACTTTAACTGCTTTAAGTAACCTAACACTTATTCCATACACTTGCAGCATCTGCCACATTGCTCTATCCAGCTATATGATCCTTGGGGGTATAGGGCTTGGGTATGATTATAATAATGCTCTCCTAGCCACCCTATCTTAAGCCTTTTCTAAATCCATAAATGCAATGAAAACTTCCTTATCCTTATCTATAGTTCACTGATATGCTTCAATGTAAACACTTGGTCTACACATCCCCTACCCTTCCGAAACATCATTCATCAGAGGTCTTAGGATCAAGCCTCATACAGTTTGTGTTGAATGATTCACAAAATATTTTTAGTGTTTCACATTAAGTAAAATCATGCATAACAGCCTCAGATGGTGGTTCTAACTCCTACACATTTCCCTATATTAGTATTTTTTATTAACTCTACAAGCAGAATTATTATATTTAATTAGTAACTTTAAAAATAAACTTTTTTTTTCTTTTTGGGTCACCTTGTCTAGGTGGGATATGACCGGTGTGTTGAAAGAATGATGTCCTGAATGAATATTACCTTTTTAATGGAAAACTTGTAAGTTATGTTGAATACAATTATTTTTAAGACTATATTTGACACTTAGTATTATTATTCCTAATAAATGTACTGTAATATGGGTATGACATTATATTCAGTTCACATAAATTACTTTTCAGAAAAAGAACTTGTGACACCACCTCTTGATGGCTTAATTCTTCCTGGCGTGATAAGAGATTCAATATTGTCCTTGGCACGACAGTGGCAAGAGTTCACAGTATCAGAGAGGGATATAACTATGGATGAGATCATTCAAGCAAAAAGTGAAGGGAAGGTATGTTAAGAGTTACATATATTATTGCAAAAGATTTCATCATGATTCTGGTGCAAATACACACACACAGCTGAACCTTATTTAACATTACAGTTATATTCCAGGAAATCTGACTTTGGTTTTATTGTACAGGTGCTCCTCGACTTACGATGGGGTTACATTCTGACTAACCCATCACAAGTCAAAAGTATCTTAAGTCAAATATGAATACAGTGGTACCTCAAATTTCAGCCATAACTCATTCCAGAAGGCTGTTCAAGTGCTGCTACCAAACGAATTTGTTCCCATAAGGAATAATGTAAATTAGATTAGTCCATTTCAGAACCCCAAAAATACACTTACATAATTGTTCAAGTTGGGAGCTGTTCAAAATTTGAGGTACCACTGTATATGCTAATAGCTACTGTCACTGAATAAGTAAACAAATAAGTACTGTAACTAAATACCAGTGGTGAAAAGCAAATAAATGAATACAAGTTATTGACTTGTTGCCATCATGCTGGGTAATTATCTTAAGTTTCGTCTCCAAAGTACATGTAATTGCTTTTACACCATCGTAAAGTCAAATATTGTAAGTTGAACCATCATAAGTTGAAGGGCACCTGTATTACAATTAAAACAAAAAGAAATTATTGAAGGACCACAGAGACCCATATAGTATTGTTTCTCCACTTCATGGAAATATAACAGCCTCATTTATCCATTTTTTTTTTTAACTAAAAACATCAATGTAATGGAAACATTCACTGGCACCTGCTTCTGCTCATTCAGCAGAAGTTGGCACTGTGTTTTTTTTAAATGTAATTAGCAGTAATGATTTTCAAATTTCAAATTCAAATTTATTTATTTCTTTGCAAGTAGTATAGTAAGATTATGTATTTACAATAATGGGTTGCAGTACAAAGAGAGCCTCTATTATGCCTAGGCATTATGGGCCGACTTAATTTAATGGCTTACTGGCTACTTAACACTAAAGAAATTTATCATAGTTGTACAGTAGTTCTATTAATTATAAGTGAATCTAATTTATACAAACAAGGATATATTCATATATTCAAAAATGCTTTTTATGAAACATGATTCAAGAGTAGTTTCAAGTAGTTTACAGTATGAGAATGCTACAATTTGGTGAAGGGCAGTACTGCTTTTGGTAGGTATGTATACTTCTATGTGGTAATTTGTCAATATATGAACTTGGTCATCTAGTCTTGAAGTTTTAAGATTTAGGTAATTGGTAGATTTATTGGTAATGTTAAATACTGAGTATTGAGTATTTAGTCTAGGGTGATTAAGTGGCTTTTGAGAAGAGTCTTAAATTGATTTTCAGACCAGGTTACTTTAATATCTTCTGTTAGTGAATTCCAAATTTTGGGACCCTTTACGTGCATAGAGTATTTACAGTGTGATGTGGACACGGGGTACATCAAAAAGATCTGTGTCTTGTGTTATGGTCATGTGCCCTGTTAAGGTTGGTGAGAAGTTTGAGTGGAGGGTTTATGTTTGCATTTATTGTTCTATGTATGTAGTAGGCACATGAATAAGTATGAATGTTCTTAATGGTGAGCAGATTTAGACTTTTGAATATTGGTGGAGTATGCTGGCGGGAGTGGGAATTTGTTATCATTCTGACTGCTGCCTTTTGCTGGGTTTTTAGGGGTCTTAGGTGATTTAATGGTGTTGATCCCCATGCACAAATTCTATATGTGACAAAGGTAGATGAGTGAATGATATAGTACAAGGAGAGCTGATTGTGGAACTTAGTATCGTGTCTTTGACAGTATGCCTACAGTCTTGGAGATTTTCTTGGTGATTTGTTTTATGTGTGTCTGGAACTTGAGGCTAATGTCAAGGTGGATTCCTAGGAATTTTCCCTCTGCGAGTCTTGTAATGGGTGATCCATTTAGCGTTATGTTAAGTGGAACATTTGCAGCTTTGTTTCCAAACTGAATGAAGTAGGTTTTGTAAGTATTCAGGGTAAGTTTATTAGTCATCATCCAGGCAGATATTTTCTGCAATTCGGCATTGACAGTGTTGGCGAGTATGACTGGGTTTGGGTGGGAGAAGATGTATGTAGTGTCATCTGCAAATAATATGGGTTTGAGTTGCTGTGATGCATTCGGTAGGTCATTGATGTAAATGAGAAAGAGGAGTGGTCCAAGAATACTTCCCTGTGGGACTCCCACTGTGATTGGTTGAGTGGAAGAGTTTGCACCATTTGTGTACACATATTGGCCTCTGTTACTAAGGTATGGCTTTAGGTAGTTGATCAGAATCATAATGCAGCACCTCTTCTCCATGTTGGTGATTGTGCGAGTTGCCAATGTGAGCCTGTTTTCTTCATAAGAACATAAGAAAGGAGGATCACTGCAGCAGGCCTACTGGCCCATACTAGGCAGGTCCTTTACAATCCATCCCAATAACAAAACATTTGCCCAACCCAATTTTCAATGCCTTCCAAGAAATAAGCTCGGATAACTCTATCCTCTCATTTGCAAGTCCCAATCAAATCCAACCCCTCCCACTCATATATTTATCCAACCTAAATTTGAAGCTATCTAAAGTCCTAGCCTCAATAACCCAACTAGGCAGACTGTTCCACTCATCAACTACCCTATTTCCAAACCAATACTTTCCTATGTCCTTTCTAAATCTAAAATTATCAAATTTAAATCCATTACTGTATCTAATTTATTATTATTATTATAATAAAAAAGAAGCGCTAAGCCACAAGGGCTATACAGCGCTGCAGGGTAGGGAAGGAAGCGAGGGTATTGGGCGGCAGAAGGGAGGAGGGATGATCAGTAGGTTACAGAAAACAGCGGGGCAGGGGATAGTACGGGGGTAGAGGGTAGCAAGAGATTGAGGTAGAAAGGGCTGAAGGTATCAGAATTTGTGAAGTAAGTCAGTTGTTGTTAAAAAGTCAATGAGAGAGTCCAGATGAAAGGTGGGTCCATCAGTGAGAAGGGAAGGTAAAGAGAGAGCAGCGGAGCAAGTGGATACGGGCTGCTGTGTAATGCAGCGAAGTACGAACAAATAGCTGATGGTACGGAATATCAGTGCGTAGAAGAAGGGCACTTTCAATAAAGGTCCCATCAGGAAAAGGATCTGAAGAATACAATAAATTATAGCCTGAGATGGGAGAGATAACAGCAGAGTGTAATTTTGGTTCCTGTAAGCAAACACCAACAGGGGAAAACTGGGAGAGTAACATCTGAAGCTCACCCCGATTACCCCTGAGGCCGCGTATATTCTACTGTAAATCATCATCATGTTTGTCCGTCGATTCGACGAGGACCATCTAGTCATCCTGGGGTCGAAGTTGGTGGGTACGCAGATGACTTGTCAGGCCAATCCACGCATGAAACGTTCTCTGGTAGTGTGGACAGGGAAGGGTGGCGGCATCAAGGGGTCTGATGGCTCTGGTCTTCCTCGCCTGCCTGCGCTGCTCAGCTAGTGAGATTCTGCTTGCCTCGCAGGATGTTGCCCCTTTCTGGACAACTGCTCACCAGTCATTCCTGTCCTGAGTTATCAACTCCCACATGGTGTGGTTGATGTTGAAAGCTTTCAGAGCAGTCTTAAGGGTGTCCTTATAGCGCTTCTTTTGGCCTCCTTGAGAGCGCTTTCCATGCTGCAGTTTGCCAAATAAGAGTTTCTTTGGCAGCCGGTGGTCTGGCATGCGAGCAACGTGACCTGCCCAGCAAAGCTGTGTCTGCATTAGGATGGTGTAGATGCTAGGCAGGCCAGCTGTAGTCAGCACTTCTGTGTCTGGGATCTTATCTGTAAATAGGCCATGATTGGCAATGATAAAGATGCTTGAAATCCACAGGTAAGGGTTCTTATGGACTAGAGGGGTTAGAAAAGTCCACATGCGGAGGCAGCGGAAAACGTTCAAGCAGCGAAGGAACGGTGCGCTGTGAAGAAAGGAGTTGCGCAGATGGAGGAGAGGAGAGAGAAGGAACAGAGGGTGGATCAGTGTCCATTGATGGTTTGGTCTCTGCAATATATTCAGAGATTGCTTCAAGTGTTTCGGAATTCAGAGATGTCGTATGGGAGACAATACTGGAGATGGTAGGGGGAGGATGAGTAAAGATTGGAACTGTAATGGACTGTACCAAGGTATGGGGGGGCGAAAGGGTGGAGGGAACTGAAGAAGAAGCATGGAAGGGGACAGAAGAGGCAGAAACCTGGGAGGTGGCAGAAGAGGAAGAAACTTGGGAGGGAACAGGGGAGGTAGGTATAGTACGAGGAGGAGGGTGAACCTCTACACTTGTTACAGAGCCAGTGAGAGGGGAAGAACCTGGTACAGAGACAGGGAAGGTAAAATGAGGAGGTGGAAGAAGGGAAGGAGGGGTTAAAGGACCTTTTTTTGACTTCTGAGAAGTAGAGGGATGATTGGGAGGAGGTGTCGTACGAGGTCTCGTCGATACTGAGGCTTGTGAGGGAGAACACGAAGAAGTGAGAGCAGACTGAGACATTGAAGTAGGGACGTCTGAGCCTAGGACAGCAAAAGAATTAGATACAGGAGTGACTATGGGAGAGGTAACCACAGAGGAGGCTGCAGAAGATGGGACCCCAGAAGTGGGAGGACATTTTGAAACACGGGAATAAGAAACACGAGGTAGTCTCCCTTGGAGGCGGAGATGAGAAACTGCCATGGCATAAGGGAGACCTTCTGCTTCTTTGAGGTAACGGATTTCCCGCTCATTTAAATAGATTTGGCAATGGCGAGAGTACGAAGGGTGAGCCTCATGACAATTAAGGCAAGAGGGAGGTCGATTGCAAGATGTATTAGAATGGTCATCGGCACCACAGACTGGGCATTTGGCTATGGATCTGCAATATTTCACTGGATGGCCAAATCGCCAGCAATTTCTACACTGTTGCGGTGTAGGGATCACCTTTCGAGCTTGTAACCGATGTCCTGCTACATAAACTGAGGATGGGAGTTCACGGCTGTCAAAAGTTAAACGAGCCACATTGCTAGGGTATCGTCTCCGCCCGCGGGCAGGAAGAACATAAGTGTCTACCTTGAGGATTGGGAGATCTTGGAGTTCCAGCTGTTCAAGAATGTCATTACCACATGTCTGGAAATTTTGTTGAACTATGGTATGGGGCAGAATGACGGTACCACTACAAGAATTGAGGGAATGATGTTTTTCACTAGTGACAGGAACAGTATCTATATGGGAAAGAAGAGAAAGATCATGAGCTTGGGTAGCATTCTGTACAGTGATGATGCGTGTACTGCTCTTAAGAGCATGAAAAGAAATATCTTTACCAACATGGCGTAGGAGTGCCTTGCCAATACTGTGGTCGGAAAGATAGGCGGTAGAGGAAGTCGGTCATAAAGTGAAGAATTTAGTCCATTGTGCAGTCTGAAACTGAGCGTGGAAAGGGAGTGCAGGACGTGTCAATCTTTTCTGAGAAGAACGAGAAGGTGGAGAAGTATCATCAGCAGATAATTGTCATTGGCATTTAGGCATGGGACCAGAGTTGGTACGATGTGGAATGGGCCGGCGATTCGAAAATTGCCGCACTGTAGAGGGAGAGGCCGGAAGCATAGTCAAAGGAGAGCGGAGGTCAGATAAATCAAAGGAGTCAGTCGAGACCTCAGTACCTGAAGCGGGTGAGGAAACAGCACTGGCAAGAGGTGCAGAGGCATGAGGAGTGTCCGAAGAGTGGTCCAAAGACGAGGCGGGGTCAGAACGGGGTGCGGTATCAAGAAGGGGCCCGGGGGTAGCAGGTTCATGGATTGGGTTCTCCATGGTTAGGTTACTTCTTTCTTTTTGTTTTTTCGAAAAAAAGAAGAAAATAAAAATAAAAAAAAGAATAAAAAAAAGGGGGGGCCAGGGAGGGATAGTTCCTAGGAGGAATGAAAGGGCCAGAAATCTCCCTCCATGCCCAAGAGGACCTCAGCACCGCAAGTAGCGTAGATGCAGCATGAAACCCGTGCCATACCCTACCCATCATGCCAGTAAACCAGCAATCTGGGATAGCAACCTCACATCTGCCGAGCTACCTCGGTGGACAAAAGAGAGGGCGGCCGGATATCCGCCACAAAGCATACCTCCTTTGGCCACCACCCCTGGAATCCGAAAGGTGGCTTCCAGAGATACACCCGTCGCCCGAAAGACACCCAAAGCCACTCTCCAGGATACCGGAGAGGGATCGGGACATCCCCGGGCAATCTAGATTCCACGGCAAACTACGCCACTGCCAAGAACCTCAACGGAATGGGATGGACCCTGGTACCCTTTCCTTACCTAGGAACTAGCGTGCCTGTGGGAAAAATCCCAAAGGCCAAAAAGAGGAAGGGCAAAAGGGAGGGGTGGGGAGGGAATGGTGGAAAGGGAAAAGGGGAGGATGGGATAGGGAAGGGGGGATTGGGGGGTAATTAGGTTCGGTCTGAGGAAGGAGACCGACAGGTCTAATTCCTCAGACCAAGAGCCTCTTCACCACGCCAAGGAGCCCCCCTTGAAGAGGGCATCTAATTTAAATCCATTAAAATCATGGCTGAATTCTTGGCACAACTGTATGTTACCCTGGATTTCAATAAATCCTGACAGCTTGCATGAGGGTATTTAAAAGTTTCCCATGAAATTACTAAAGAAGTACTGATGGCTGAACTGGCAACATTGCAATTGTAAGCCCATGATTATGCTAACCATCACAGTGTACTACTTGGTTACTGCACTTTGTTATTATATTTGCGGCATTTTAAATGTTTGTCAACTCATATTGCGTACATTTCTCTATTACAGCTTTTAGAAATGTTTGGAGCAGGCACAGCTGCAGTAGTGACACCAGTGGGAGAGATTCACTATGAAGGTCAAATAGTGAAAATTCCCACTATGGAGCACAAGCATCCACTCACACAGCGTATCTTTGATGCTATCACAGACATACAATATGGACGTGTCAAAAGTGAATGGACCGTCCCTATTGAGTGAAATGAGAATAGAGAGAAATTCTGGTTTTGTGACTCAGATGCAGATTTCTGAATACAGGTGCATATTGGTTAATAGTGTGTTAACATTAGAAAACTTTTAAAGTATATTATTTTAATTGTTAATATACTTAAAATTTTGAAATGCAGTTTTAACAAACTATTTTCTCATGAGTGTTCATTTGCAGATATATATTTTGGAACCATTTGAAATCCAATAGTCTGCTATAAATAGATTTTAGTTCTAAAAACTATTATGCTGAGAACAGTTGTGTTAAACAACTGAATATTAATGTAAAATATTTCCTCCAATATTACTGTGAAATTTTACTTATGCCTATGACAGGTAATGGCTTTTAACACATACAAATGCTAATCATTATACAGTATTAGATGTAAAATTAAACCTACTGTATCTGATAGTCTTTTGTAATACAAGCAGTTAAAAATAGTTACTTAAGGCACAGATGAGCCACAGGATTGTTAGGAAGTATTTCTTCGGTCTGAGTGGCTGGGAAGTGGAGGCATGCTCCATATATAGTTTTAAGAGCAGGTATGATAGAGCCCTTGAGGCTAAGATAGAGTGAATCTGGAGAGTGGCAAGTTAAGAGGCAGGGCTAGGATGCGAAAATCAACCACAAGTAAGCAAGCACAGACCACACTAACAATAAAGATGTTAATCGCATGAGCACTTCTAATTGACTGTGTAAAATTCGGTATATATTCAAAAAAATAACAGAATTAAGCATTAAACCCGGTATTCAGAAAAAAAGCATATGGTAAAGCCAGAAGGTTGTATATTATGTACTTTATTATTGTATAGCATATTTAAATCAGTATTTGTGGCAATTTTAGTGTAAATATTCGCTTGTGTACAAATAATCAAAACTACATTAGAATAATTAGATATTATCATTTGTTGATAAATCACAAACTAAAAAAACAAGCAGCTGGAAAAGATTAAAAGTAAATATCAATAAATTAAAAACAAAAATATATGTGAACCAGTATTTATTACTTGGAATAAGGAATGTAAATGTTTTCACTTGTTCACACACCAGTAATTTTTGCCTCCCAAGATCTGCAGGCAATTTAGATAGCATTTTACTTATCAGCTTCATATTGATTTGGATAGATGCTCGAGTCATGTGTGTAGGGCAAAAGGATTGTAAAACTAAGCAGAAAAACTAGTAATCACCATATAAAAGATATTGGCAAGGAAGGTCATGAATTACAGTACTGTAAAACTTCTCTTCCTTCTACAACACTGGGAGGGATGGGGATACTTTCCTGAGCACCAGTGACCAGAGGAAAATCTGCAAAATCATTAAATGTACCTGACACAAGGAATTTATATTGTATGAGGAAGGAAGGGAAGGGCTGTACTGTTGCAGGCAGTTAGGAAAGGCATGCACTAGAGGATGCCAGTCGAACACAAATATGCAAAACATTTTTCACTTCACTGTCTAAATTTATAAATTAGTAATGCCAAGATGTTGAAAATTTGTAATAAACTAATACATATAGTAATTCAATGGAGTGCTCAAACTTACAGTCTAAGGGGCCTGAGATTACTGTTCCACATCTGGTTGGAGAATTCTTATATTCTGTAGTGCAGAAGAGGGACAGATTGGTAGTCTCAGGACTATTAGGCTGTTGGTTCTAAGTCCACTCTTAGTAGTAGTATATATATATGTGTAAACTCCAAACTTGTCGGGGTCATACAGTACCTAGGGAATGGGTGGTAATCAGATTTGATCCAAGGAGATTGTAGGTTCAGTTCCTAGAATTAAAGAGTCCTTCAGCATTAAGGCACCCTCCTTTAAAGGACTTAGTTGAATGCACTGCCAAGTTCACAGTAAGAACTAGCATGGTGTATGGTTTAAGGATTCATACACTGCCAGAGTTAAGACCTCCATATATCACTTGCACTCTATGTATCACCAGGACATTGCCTTGGCAAATATTGTATATACATTAAACCCTACTGAATTCAGTTAAAAGAAAGTAAATTAGCTAAAAAATACTTACATTTAACTTACTAATACTGTACATTATTTGTTACTTTCAAGTTGAGGATGCATAACATATTGAAGTGAGTGGAGAGATTGGCTGTGGATCTTTTCCTCATCCTTTTCAGTTACACTAAGGATTACTCATTGCACCAGCCCTTGCTGTGGTCAAATCACTGATTCACTAACAAACACTCGTGATGTGTGCACCAATCTTCAGAATCTCGATTACCTTTTTTTTTTTATATAGGCATAGTTTTGTGCTTAATTATTTTGCTGCACCAGCATCACCTGTACTTCATTTGGAAGACATGATAAATATCCAGAGGTGAGATGGCATGAGGAAAACCTGAGCAATGTGCACTAAACCAAAATCATGCAGTATATTTGCATGTATGAGAGGCTAGTTTGACAACATTCTTTCACCCTCCCAGGCAGCAATAAGACAATGAAGTTGCTTAGTGCTGCAGTGCTCCTTAATGGAAATGGGCCCACTTCTATTGAAAGTGAAAACCTAAATTTAAATCACATAATACTTTATATGCGAGCTATGATTGTGTGACTTAAGGTTTCTACAGCACATAAATTGAGCAGTGATGTATCCCTTGGTGTATAGATTCAGAATTTATTTTAAATTTCTATTATAGGAATTAAGGTATCCTTTTTGTGGATTGTGACCTTATTGATTACCATGATATCAATACACATTAAACCTAACATCTTGCATAATTGGCTACTACCTTCACACTATACACCTCTCTCTACTTTGCCCTCAATAAACACAATTCAATATATATACCCTCTATACACCAGTTGTGTCAAGTTGCCTGTCCATATGACTAATACAGAGACCATTTTAAATTTGAGATATGCTCTTTTTCAAATTAAAAGCAAATTCTAAATAAGAGAGAAATTACTGATGTATTCAGCAACATTCCTACTTTTGCAGATCCTCCCTGCAGCACTGTATGACCCTTTTGTTTAGTGTTTAAACTTTCTTGATTATAATATTCATTACCACAGTACTATATTTAATCAATCTTTTTTGTCTTGCATTTCTCAATAAACTCCCTATGTAGCAATACTATAGCATTCAGGTTTACTTTTGTTCATAGATTATTAATAAAGTATTCTGCATGTGCAATGTTTTATCTTATCTATAATATAGTAATTCATGTATATATAGAACTATTTTCAAATATGATTTTGTATAGTTTATCTGTAGGCTTACTTATTTTAATGTAAATTTTGTATCTGGTTTATAAGTGAACTATATAAAAAAAAACTGCTGAATCTCTTATTTTACACAAAACTTTTCTAGATGTCTTTTAAGGTATATTTTTGTATATTCATAAGTTTTAAACAAAATTGAATGATTTGTATTATTACATGCATGAGTGCTACACCCATAGGGGGTTATACAGAGCCTTGGAAAATGGGAGGCAGTCAGATGCTATCCAAGGAAGGGGAGCACCGGTCTAATTCCTTAGGTCAAGAACCTTTCACTGACATCAAGGAACCTTCCTTGACCTGAATACTGTCTGTAACTTGAGTTTAGAGGATTAAATACAGAGCATTTGTAGCAGCAAGATGCATTTGTTCATTTCTGCCAATTTATTTTTTGGTTTGTTATAATAGTAAATGTTTGAGAATGTGTCTGTACTTATGTAAATAAATTTTTAAATTTAACTTTGTTTAATTATTATTATAATAAAAAAGAAGTGCTAAACCACAAGGGCTATACAGCGCTGCAGTGCAGGAAGGAAGCGAGGGTATCAGGTGGCAAAAGGGAGATGGATGAGTAATAGGTTATGGAGAACAGCGGGGCAGTGGACAGTGAAAGGGTAGAGGGCTGCAAGAGATTGAGGTAGAAAGGGCTGAGGGGAGTGCAAAAGGTATAATCATCAGAGTTTGTGGAGTAAATCAGTCATTGTCAAGAAGTCAATGAGAGAGTCAGGATTAAAGGAGGGTCCATCAACAAGAAGAGAAGGTAAAGAGAGTAGTAGAGCGGAGACGATGTTGGAGGTAAATTCTGCGTACTCGTTGATAGAGAGGGCAGTCTAACAGAATGTGGCTAATCGATACTGGAACTTGACACTTCTCACAGAGGGGAACAGGGTGCCTCTCCATGAGATACCCATGAGTAAGACGAGTGTGGCCAATGTGAAGGCGAGAGAGAGTAGTCTCCCAACCTCGGCACTGATGACAAGAAGACGGCCAGTAACCTATGCTCGGTTTAATAGAATGAAGTTTGTTACCGAGTAGAGTTGACCAACATTGTTCCTAACAGGTGTGAAGGTGGGTAGCTATTACAGCAAAATAGTCTGGAAATGGAACACCTTTATATGAAATTGGTAGGTCATGTACTGCTGACTGCACAGCAGTGTCTGCCTGTTCACTGCCCTGTACGTCAACATGACCAGGGACCCAACAAAACACAATATCTTTATGCTTGGTAGAGATACGGCATAGCCAAAGTTGGATACGGAGAACTAGGGGGTGAGGTGTATCAAATTTCCATATAGCCTGTAGAGCATTAAGGGAGTCTGAGACAACCACAAATGATGACACAGGCATAGATGCGATATGAATAAGTGCTGCAAGAATGGCATACAATTCAGCGATAAAAATGCTAGCCGAAGATAGTAAATGCCCTCGCATGATGCTGTCCGGAAACACTGCTGCGAATCCGACACCGTCAGAAGACTTAGAGCCATCTGTGTACACTGCAATGGCATGAGAGTGGAAGTGGTCAAGAAAAAGAGCAGGAAGCCACCGTAGGCAGTTGGGCTTTCGAGCAAGGGAGTGAGAAAGACCAGACCCGAACAGCTGGAACTTTCTAGGGGGGTAGGGAAAAGTGAGATGCTACATGAACATATAAAGATGGTAACTGAAGGGAAGACAAGAGCGAATGTAGGTGAAGAGAGAAGGGACGGAGCAAAAGGGCAGCGAACAAATGTCTACTAATATCGGTGACCATTCTATAAATAGAAGGATTGCGGAGATCATGAGAGCGTACATAGTAGTGAGGGCAATGGGCATCATGGCGATCAGACAAGGATGGAACATTCGCTTCTGCATAGAGGCTCTCAACGGGAAGAGCAAAAAGCACCAAGGCAAAAACGTAATCCTTGGTGATGGAGGGGATTAAAGCTTGAGAGTAGCAGGAGAGGCCGCTGAATAGATCTGGTCACCATAATCGAGTTTCGATAAAATGAGAGAGGGCTGAATGTAGGTGAAGGAGAGTTCGACGATCAGCTCCCCATGAAAGATGAGCAAGGGTTTTAAGAAGGTTCAACCGGCTGTGACAAGTTGCCTTCAGAGAGGTAATGTGAGGTTTCCAGGATAACCTAAGGTCAAAGAGTCCAAAATCTTTGAGAAACTCGTGCATAGGAGACTATATTCATTTATAACGGCACAAAACATACTCAACCCCAGCCAATTTGGATTCAGGAAAAATAAAAGCACTAATGATGCAATCATAAAAATGCTAGATCTGCTTTACACAGCATTGGAAAATAAGGAATATCCACTAGGAATTTTTATTGACCTAAGAAAAGCTTTTGACACAGTAGACCACGACATCCTACTCCACAAACTTGACCATTATGGTATAAGAGGCCATGCGCTTGCTTATTTCAAATCTTACCTTACTAATAGGTATCAGTATGTCACCATTAAAGACACAGCATTAACAACACGGCCACTTGATACTGGAGTTCCACAGGGAAGTGTCCTTGGTCCCCTGCTCTTCCTCATATACATCAATGATCTTCCAAATGTATCCCAACACCTGAAACCCATTCTCTTTGCTGACGACACGACTTATGTCATCTCTCACCCTAATCTTGCCACCCTCAACACCATTGTTAACGAGGAGCTGATCAAAATATCGACTTGGATGACAGCCAATAAACTTACGCTTAATAATGGGAGATGTTAAGTGAATGTATAGGAGCCTTTGAACCAAGTGAGAGAGTAATTGTGGTAGGGGACCTGAATGCTAAAGTAGGAGAAACTTTTAGAGAGGGTGTGGTAGGTAAGTTTGGGGTGCCAGGTGTAAATGATAATGGGAGCCCTTTGATTGAACTTTGTATAGAAAGGGGTTTAGTTATAGGTAATACATATTTTAAGAAAAAGAGGATAAATAAGTATACAAGATATGATGTAGGGTGAAATGACAGTAGTTTGTTGGATTATGTATTGGTAGATAAAAACTGTTGAGTAGACTTCAGGATATACATGTTTATAGAGGGGCCACAGATATATCAGATCACTTTCTAGTTGTAGTTACACTGAGAGTAAAAGGTAGATGGGATACAAGGAGAATAGAAGCATCAGGGAAGAGAGAGGTGAAGGTTTATAAACTAAAAGAGGAGGCAGTTAGGGTAAGATATAAACAGCTATTGGAGGATAGATGGGCTTATGAGAGCATAGGCAATGGGGTCGAAGAGGTATGGGGTAGGTTTAAAAATGTAGTGTTAGAGTGTTCAGCAGAAGTTTGTGGTTACAGGAAAGTGGGTGCAGGAGGGAAGAGGAGCGATTGGTGGAATGATGATGTAAAGAGAGTAGTAAGGGAGAAAAAGTTAGCATATGAGAAGTTTTTTACAAAGTAGAAGTGATGCAAGGAGGAAAGAGTATATGGAGAAAAAGAGAGAGGTTAAGAGAGTGGTGAAGCAATGTAAAAAGAGAGCAAATGAGAGAGTGGGTGAGATGTTATCAACAAATTTTGTTGAAAATAAGAAAAAGTTTTGGAGTGAGATTAACAAGTTAAGAAAGCCTAGACAACAAATGGATTTGTCAGTTAAAAATAGGAGAGGAGAGTTATTAAATGGAGAGTTAGAGGTATTGGGAAGATGGAGGGAATATTTTGAGGAATTGTTAAATGTTGATGAAGATAGGGAAGCTGTGATTTCGTGTATAGGGCAAGGAGGAATAACATCTTGTAGGAGTGAGGAAAAGCCAGTTGTGAGTGTGGGGGAAGTTCATGAGGCAGTAGGTAAAATGAAAGGGGGTAAGGCAGCTGGGATTGATGGGATAAAGATAGAAATGTTAAAAGCAGGTGGGGATATAGTTTTGGAGTGGTTGGTGCAATTATTTAATAAATGTATAGAAGAGGGTAAGGTACCTAGGGATTGGCAGAGAGCATGCATAGTTCCTTTGTATAAAGGCAAAGAGGATAAAAGAGAGTGCAAAAATTATAGGGGGATAAGTCTGCTGAGTATACCTGGTAAAGTGTATGGTAGAGTTATTATTGAAAGAATTAAGAGTAAGACGGAGAATAGGATAGCAGATGAACAAGGAGGCTTTAGGAAAGGTAGGGGGTGTGTGGACCAGGTGTTTACAGTGAAACATATAAGTGAACAGTATTTAGATAAGGCTAAAGAGGTCTTTGTGGCATTTATGGATTTGGAAAAGGCATATGACAGGGTGGATAGGGGGGCAATGTGGCAGATGTTGCAAGTGTATGGTGTAGGAGGTAGGTTACTGAAAGCAGTGAAGAGTTTTTTACGAGGATAGTGAGGCTCAAGTTAGAGTATGTAGGAAAGAGGGAAATTATTTCCCAGTAAAAGTAGGCCTTAGACAAGGATGTGTGATGTCACCGTGGTTGTTTAATATATTTATAGATGGGGTTGTAAGAGAAGTAAATGCGAGGGTCTTGACAAGAGGCGTGGAGTTAAAAGATAAAGAATCACACACAAAGTGGGAGTTGTCACAGCTGCTCTTTGCTGATGACACTGTGCTCTTGGGAGATTCTGAAGAGAAGTTGCAGAGATTGGTGGATGAATTTGGTAGGGTGTGCAAAAGAAGAAAATTAAAGGTGAATACAGGAAAGAGTAAGGTTATGAGGATAACAAAAAGATTAGGTGATGAAAGATTGAATATCAGATTGGAGGGAGAGAGTATGGAGGAGGTGAATGTATTCAGATATTTGGGAGTGGACGTGTCAGTGGATGGGTCTATGAAAGATGAGGTGAATCATAGAATTGATGAGGGAAAAAGAGTGAGTGGTGCACTTAGGAGTCTGTGGAGACAAAGAACTTTGTCCTTGGAGGCAAAGAGGGTAATGTATGAGAGTATAGTTTTACCAACGCTCTTATATGGGTGTGAAGCATGGGTGATGAATGTTGCAGCGAGGAGAAGGCTGGAGGCAGTGGAGATGTCATGTCTGAGGGCAATGTGTGGTGTGAATATAATGCAGAGAATTCGTAGTTTGGAAGTTAGGAGGAGGTGCGGGATTACCAAAACTGTTGTCCAGAGGGCTGAGGAAGGGTTGTTGAGGTGGTTCGGACATGTAGAGAGAATGGAGCGAAACAGAATGACTTCAAGAGTGAATCAGTCTGTAGTGGAAGGAAGGCGGGGTAGGGGTCGGCCTAGGAAAGGTTGGAGAGAGGGGGTAAAGGAGGTTTTGTGTGCGAGGGGCTTGGACTTCCAGCAGGTATGCATGAGCGTGTTTGATAGGAGTGAATGGAGACAAATGGTTTTTAATACTTGACGTGCTGTTGGAGTGTGAGCAAAGTAACATTTATGAAGGGGTTCAGGGAAACCGGCAGGCCGGACTTGAGTCCTGGAGATAAGATAAGATAAGATAAGATTTCGTTCGGATTTTTAACCCCGGAGGGTTAGCCACCCAGGATAACCCAAGAAAGTCAGTGCGTCATCGAGGACTGTCTAACTTATTTCCATTG